ATTCTGGGAGTTGAAGTCCACAAGTCTTAAAGTTGCCAAGGTTGGAGACCCCTGCCCTACATCGTTGTATTTTTCTCATGGAATGATGACATCTCCAAGGCATCACTACAAAAGTCTTTAGATTGAAAATCACTGCAGCAGAACCGGAGACTTTGGAGTGCCCTGAAAATTGAACAACTTTGTGGCCTCATACTAATAGCCCATTTATAATTTAAAAAAAAGGATGTTTGGGGGAAAAGAGTAAGCAAATTTAGAGAGTAATTGCAAGATTTAATGAATTAAAATATAGAGTATAACCCCTACTAGACTGACCTATAGAAGAACTTACTTTTCCTTTCTCTCAGTAAAGGTTCTTTTTTTCATCTTAAACCCTCAAAAACACACTAATATGTGTAGTCCTTAGAAACACATTGAAATTAATGAGCTGAAGGCAAGAGCAACTGATAGCCTAGGCCAAGGTTCACAATAGGTTGTGGCCTATTTGGAACCGGGCCATGCAAGTGGCGGGCTGATCCGTGCACGCGCAGCTCAACTTACACGAGTGGCAGGCTGGCATGTGCGCGTGCGCACACATACACACACACACATACTTGCACAAGTTGAGCTGCGCGCATTTACGCACGTGCCAGCTGCCACTCGCATGGCCTGGTACCACCCCTCCGACCCCAACCCCAGCCACCAAGGTTTGGGCCCACTGGTCTAGGCCATCCTACTATTCCATCATCACCCTTCATTGTCACATAGGTCCTTTTTCTTTCAATCTCTAAAAGCAACTTGTTTATTGTGAGCCCTATTCCAGGGATGGGATTCTACCAGTTTGCACCTATTCGCTAGAACCGGTTGTTAATATTCTAAGCAGCTCGGAGAATCGGTTGTTAGAAGAAATTACTGGCCTAATCCTGTAAGGAAGGCAGGAAGGAAACATTCTGGTGTTGCTTACAGAAACTGTCTTGTGATTGTGTGTCCAATCACACTTGGCCAATAAAAGTATTCTATTCTATTCTATTCTCTCTATTAACCCTTATTACATTCTTGGCAGGACTAGACTTCCTGTCTCAGGAACTTCTCTGGAGTTTTTTCCCCCTCCTTTGCTGGTACTTTGCTTGTGTGGAGTGACCATTCAAAGTTACAATGGCACTGAAAAAAGTGACTTATGACCATTTTTCATACTTACGACTGTTGCAGCATCCCCACAGTCATGAGAGGCCAGGCGAGGAGATGCGTGCCTCGATGTGAGTGATATTGAGTTGGCCACACCTAGCCAATAACATGACCACCAAGCCATGTCCACCCAGTCACATGACCATTAAGCCACGCCCACCACCTAAGCCACACCCACAGAACTGTTTGTTAAAAATTTGAATCCTACCCCTGCCCTATCCCCTTCCCCACTCTGCCAATCTAGCTACGCCTACCACTCTTTCATAGTCTCATCTTACTGCTCACTGCTATGTAAGTTATCATCTATGATGATAGATAGCATCTTGGCAGATCTTCCCAATGTTATCAATGTAGCTGAAGAAAATGAAAGGAAGATAACAAGCATACCCACCATTACCACTGGGTGATGCACATCTCCTTTAAAAGAGGAATGTAACATAATTAAAGAGGCTGTATATCTACTGAGGATTCTGAAGTGTAATAGTCACCTGCTCAAAAAGCTCTCCCCGAACGAGGGCTGTAGCAATACGATTGATTAGGTCGGTATTAGCCAGCAGCTCCTCTCGGTCCATGGTCAGCTGTGCTGCTTTAGCCGGAAGCCCAGCCTTCAGGTAGAGGCCAATGGCTGCTTGCAGGTCCCCTTGGATCTCCTGTACCTCAGCAGCCCGCTCCTCCTGCTGGGTCTGCAGCAGCCACTCGTAATAGCTTTGACGCAATTTTTCTAATGCGGGATGGTTCTGAGAGAAAGAGAGAGAGAGAGGACAACAGAGGAGGAGCTACCACACCATCCCAGAAACCTGTGGTTTTAAGTCTTCGGTGCCACTCTTACTTTTGCCTCTGCCACCGAGATGCATTCATCCCACATGTGAAGCTCTTGATACATCTCCATGGCCTCCTCCACAGCATTCTAAACGAGGGGAAATCACATGGGTTAGGCTGGCACAGAGAGGTGCAGGGGACGGAAGTGTTCAAAATCAGCAATCCCTGTTCCCAGACTTACCTGCTCCAGAAAGATCATCTCTGCCAGCTTGTAGTTTTTTTCTAACATAGCCAGGCGGACTCGGACTTGATAATAGTCTGTGCCATCCCCTCCCTGAAGCGAGCAATTAAAGAGAGGAGGAAATGTGGGGAAAATAGACTTGCACCCTCCATCCATGTAAGTAAAGCACCCGCCGAGCGCAAGGAGAACCCAGATGAGACAAGTGCTCTATTGGATTAGAAGGTTCTTCTTTCCCTTTGAGACAAGAGTTCCTAGACATTTTTGTCATCGCACCTCCCTTTAATGTAATCTTAGTTGTACATACCTCACCTACCCAAAGGCCAAAATGAACACAAAATAAGCAATGTACAATTAATCTTTGGGAAAGGTGGATTTATTGTAGCAATGTAACTAAAACATTATTCAGCCCTCCTCGGAATTCTGTCTGTACCTCCCCAATTTGGGAAGCCCTGATTGAACGGAAAGGAAATATCGGGAACGTGGATAGGGAAACCTAGGAAATAGGAGAATAAAAGGGCAAAAGCAAGCTCCACATTTCACTCACGTATTCCTTGGCCACTTGGTCAGCAATCTCATTGGTTTCATGGAGAAATCGAGCCTTGGATACTTGCCCAAGAGCAGCAAAACACCTAGAAGAAAATATTATTAGGGTTTATTTTATTTTAGAAATTTCATTTCAAGATTTATAAGGACACCCAACTCAAGACAGGGTGATTTTGGGTGGTGCATAGCAAAACACACAATAATACGAACAGCAAACAACCAAGGGTTGCAAGTTTTTGTGGTCTAAAGTGGATATCAAGCAGAATAAAAGGCCTTCCAGTTCATAACTGGTCTAAAGGAAATTCGCAAAAATATAACTACTGTAGTAAAGAGGTGAGTAAGCAAGACTGTTAATACACAGAAATGACAATCTAATCAAGGAATTTCATGAAAGATGGCAGACTGAATCAAGAAGTCCTTGGTTTAAGTGGATTGCTCTCTGAGTGACCCTGTGAGAGAACTAGGTTAATCTATGGCAGGGGTGTCAAACTCAAGGCTCCGCCCCCTGGGGTGCTTAAATCTGGCCTGCAGGGCTGCCCTGGAAACAGTGAAGGACCAGCCCTCAGTGCCTCTGCCAGCGAAAATAGAGATTAGGAGCCCATTTTTGCTGGCAGAGCCCTTGAACCACCACAGACACCCCTAGCATAAGTGACATCAAGCTGGCCACGTCCACCCTGGCCAAACACAGTCCTGTTGGCCTCAATGAAATAGAGTTTGACACCCCTGATCTATGGTATCAAAAAAACAGGAATCTGCCAGCATCTTTTCCAATTAAGAAATTTTAAAACCTGCATCCATATAATCAATTTGTCTATCATCATCACCTCCTCTGCTTCACCCCAATTTAAATCCAACATCAGTCTAGCCCAGGGGTTTCCCCCTGGGGGTGCGAGACGATATTCCAGGGGGTGCGAGAAAAGTCCAGGTAAATAATAGGATATTGGCTATATGTTGGCATTTTTATTTTCTTTTGCAATGGATTAACTTAACTGAGCAAAATATAAATTTCAGGGGGTGTGAGGTTCGAGTGAAATTTCTTTAGGGGTGTGGGGCGAAAAAAAGGTTGGGAACCACTGGTCTAGCCACTAAGCATATCAGGAGCTGAAATGAAACACAGCTGATGAAAGCTTGTGCCTTTTTAGAAAATGTGTTTGTCCAAAACCAGACTGCTGATTCTCTGGCTAACAATGCCAGATTAACTCTACCGGATACTTTTGGGGAGCTTGCCGGACTAAATCACCCACCTTTCAGCAATATGCAGCTGTCTGGCCTCCAATGTTAGTCGACTTAATGTCTTCCACATGGCCTCTGTCTCAGCAGACATCTCCAATGTTTCTAAGAAAGCTACAGCTCTAAAAGCAGAAAGCAAAGGGGCTGAGTACCAGTCACCCATGGCAATGGGGCACTGAGCAATTAAGAATCAGATTTTCTTCAAACTCTCTGTAGATTTAGCCAAGGCTTCACATGAAAGGGCAGATTCCTCCCTTCAAGAGTAAGGGTGGAGCAACTTTGCTTGCTCATGGATCCCCACCAAAGCTTTTCTGGAGTTGTTGCTTGGTGGCTGCTTCCAGATTCTCACCTGGCTGGAAATTTTAAAACTGTCTGGAATCCGTTTCAGCCTCTCACCTATGGTAGTCACCATCATCAATTGCAGTTCCAAACTCAATGAGCCCCTCATCCAAAGTGTAGGACACGGTATTTACACCCTCAGTCACAATCACTTCTGTCTTCCCGTTGCTCCTCTCCAAGTCCACAATATCACCCTGCAGGAGCCAATTTTTAAAAAACTTAGTACTTTCCCCACATTATACAATCTGCCAGGCTAGCTCTTGTCTTCCTTTCACTAGCTGAGAGATTGTGACCATCTGCAGCCTCACAAACTCCAGCTAATCTTTACCAACTAAACACTTAAGCCAGATGCTGGTCTGATACCAGCAGGTGGAGAGCAAATATTACCTTCATGGGGAACATGGTCACTCGTTCTGGTGTATCAATATTATACCATACACAGAGACTGTTTCGATTCTGGGCTACCACCACGTCACTCCCTGGAACCCATTGCACATAGGAACAGTAGCTAAGGATGGTGGTCTTTACAGCATTGTCAATGTCATAGAGATGCAGCTGGGAATTATAACAGGTGAGGTGGGTGGGAGAAAAGAAACACAGCATCAACAGAGGCATGTTTTTCTTATCATCTTTTTTTCCTTCCATTCAGGGTCCCTACACAACAGAATTCCCTCCCCTTCTATCTCCTCCTGTTACCTTCATCTTTTTATCCCGGAAAAGCAATTTATGGCCAGTTTCATTCAGCTCCAGCCAGTCAATCTTGCTGTCATGGCTGATAGTGCCAATATTATAGCTGGCCACAAGGTCCACTAAAGTTAGGAAAAAATGGTATAAGGCTTAAATGGTATAAGGCTCAACCTCAAGCAGTCAACGCTTGGGTAGAAAAGAAGAAGGAACTTCATTCACCTACTGCAATGGTCTTAATGTCAACTAAATAGGCCAGTTGTTTGTTCTCCTCAGTTCCACGTTGCCTCCTCTCATTGAGTCGGACGCTAAAAGAATGTACAAAAATGAGAACAGGTGTGTGCATGTTGGGAGGGCAGGTGCTTTTACTCCTCAAGTTCCAACAGCAGAAAAAGGTCTCATTATTCACCTGATGAGATGGGGATTCATAAACTCAGTGCGCACAGAACCCAAAATCTCATTACTCCCATATTCCACTACAGTCAATTCTCCTGCATTGAAGATCATGCAGACCTAGAGTACGGTGGGAAACATGACAATCTGAATGGCAGGGAAAAGGGGCATAGAGCCTTCAAACATCATGGCTTCTCATACTTCTTCCCCCTCCAATGTTATAGAAATGCCAACCAGAAGAGTAGAACAGACTCTTGCAGAAAGAACGTTAACAAAGAGGGACATTGGCAAGATTTGAATGGGTAGCATGCACACACTTACATTTTCATTGTCAAAGAAAAACTTCTCATTCCCACCAGATCCCTGCCAGGCCACCTGAAAAGAATAGACAGTGTTCATGAAATCAGATAATCTTCCCATGTTCACCCCATTCACACTTGCCTGATAGAATTTGACAAGATTTCCCTTTCAAATAGCATGCTTCCACTAGCATTTCTCAGCGTAAATGCTGCTCATGTCATTTATAACTTTCTACAAAGTGATTAAGTTCTGTCAGCCAGCCCCCAGTCTACTGACTCTCACCACATAAATAACCAGGCTAAGCCTGTTCAAGCGGTGTCACGACTGGCTTTATATTCCAACTGCTGGTAATTTAAGGTGGGCCCTGACTGAAAAGAGACAGAAAGGCTAAGCTGACTTTTATAAACTATTGTCTCTCTCTGGGAAATCGTGGGAAAATTGTGAAGTCCCAGGCACTGAGGATTGACATTTGGAAAAAGAGAAGAACAGGGAGGGGAAAAAGAAATTCACATCATTTTTTTAAAGGTTATCCAGCAAAAATGGATGAACAACTGTCCTCCTGGCCAACAAACCTGCAGAAAAGTCAAACCAAGCCAAAGTGATAAAAGAGCAGAGATCTCAGGGGGATTCAAAGTCTGAGGATAGCCAAAGGCATTCTTGCCATTAATCACGGTTAGAGATACAGAAACAGGCCTGGCTGGAGAAATCTGAAAAAACATCTGAATCAGGTATGTCTGCAGAGTGTGGTCAAAAAAGTCAAAATGGCAGCCACAATGATATGATCAAGGCCTTGCCTGTTTTTTAATGTGTGAAGCCTAAATCTATGGCTTGAACAAATCACTATATCTAACTGAATGCAACAGACAGGAACTAATGCAGAAACAGACCTTATGCAGACCAGCCTCCCAACATCTATCAGCCCACTTTACATGAGAAACATGTTACCTCACTGAGTTTGGTGGAATTCAGGTCACCAAGAAGCAGTGTATCTGAGGTGTGGGCAACAAGGTAGCGTTCCTTTCCCAGGATTTTCACCTCATCAATTTCATAGCCATAATGAGATTTCAAAACTACTCGCATACCAGTGGACAAATTCTTCACAATGACCTGGCATATAGATAAAAAGATATCATAGCAAAGCAGCATTCTCTTTCCTCCAACTTATATACATGCATATTGATGATCTGTAGAATTATGTGTAGAACAAAAAAATGAGGATAGCTCATTAGACTAGCTGATCCTAAGAAAGTCAAGTTGGTTTTCCGGAGGCTAAGACAGCCTATCATTATTAGCTAAATTGTTGCAATCATTAAATTCTGTCATTTTGTATTTACTCACTATTACATTTAACTTTAGGGAGACTATCCAGATCAATAGAACAGTCTCACACCATGGTAATATTTTTGCCTCTGTCTTCCAATAATACATTCTCAAGTTTTATCTCCACAAATCACTAGTTTGCCTGAAATACTTTAAAGACAACATATTTTCCTGATCAAAGGTAGGAATCAGAATCTATTAAGTGATATGGCAGCATCATAAGGCAGGTGAAATCAAAAACTTTCAGACTTTAGGGGGAGAATCTGGAAGTACTGGGTAAATGTGGAAATAGATGTGTCCTGCTATGTGTTTTAGCAGCATTATTGACTTGGCCTTCCATCCTTCTGAGATTGGTAATATGAGGAATCAGATTGTTGGGGGCAATATGCTGACAATATGCTGACACAACCAGCCAGAGAATGCTCTAAAGCACGATGGGGTGGTATACAAGTCTAAGTGCTATTGCCCTTGCTACAACATAAATGTGTGCTGTGCATATTAGGCATAAAAGAGCTCTGGTTAGAATGCAGTATTGCAGGCTAATTCTGCCAACTGCCAGCAGTTCGATTCTCACCAGCTCAATGTTGATTCAGCCTTCTGAGGTTGGTAAAATGAGGACCCAGATTGTTGGTGGCAATATGCTGACTCTCTAAACCGCTTAGAGAAGGCTGTAAAGCACTATGAAGCGGTATATAAGTCTAAGTGCTATTGCTATAAAACAGGTAGACGTACAACATTCACATATATGTTGTTATAATACTATATACATTAATTATCTAAGGCAATAACATCTATTTTGTGACTAACAAACTATCACTGTCCATACCATTTGCAAAACAATTCTTTGTGATTTATTTAGTTCCCATTCTGCTGGTATTTGAAGCCAGCTGCTCAAGAGCAAAGGTTCTTGTATTCCCAACTTCACCCTCATACCTGGCTTGGCCCTACATATGTCATTTCAAATTTGTTCTTGTAAATGCTCCTGCGAAGGCAGCAGTCAAACTGTTCCACTCCACCACACAGGGTACCCTGTATAAACAAAAGTTTCCTTCAGGTATCCTTTGTGTACCAGCCCTCCAACCCAGAATATGAGATCGGAACACATGGCCATTCTGGAATTGTATCCACAGACATGATATGGAGAGAGGAAACACACCGCACAGAGTCGTGAACCATCCCGTTTCCAGGCCAACGCTGTGATGGTATATAGATGAGAAATCTCCTTGGGCTTGGCTTCCTCCCATGCACTGCGACGAGGACTCCAGTTCAACACTCTCAGCCTGGGAGAGGAAAGATGGAGTGAGTAGCCAGGAGAGGTTTGCCCGACTTCAGTCTGTTCCCTTGTTCCATCCTCAAGCATCACACCTGTCAAAACTGCCAATTACTACTGATTGGCCCCCTGGACTGGAAGCTGCAACAGTGAACTCCTTCTCTGAAGCATCTCGACTGTAGTCAAAGGTTTGGATCACATGCCCTTCTTTCCCATAGGCCACAATCTTTCTGTCACAGCCGCAAGCCACAATGCTGTTGGATGCCCATGCCAAGGCATAAGGGGGACAGGGGTGCACCACCAATTTGCCCTGTTCAGAATCCAGAAACAAAAATGAGAGAGGGGAAAAGAGGCCAGTGGCAACAGACAGCACACGCTGCCCAATGCTCTCGAGAAAAGCTGTGCAAATACTTACCCCAAGCCAGCATAAAAATATCATGCTGCTGAGAAGAGCCATGATGTTTTCTTCTATCCATTAACTGGGTATGCAGTGGCATTTTAGATACCCTTTTCAGGACATTTATACTGAAAAACTATTTTAATCAGACTAATTCCTTTTAAAACAAATTCCACATCTTGGTAACCAGGTTGGCCTAAAAAAACCAGTCTTGTTCTTTCTGTTAACTTCCAGGTATAAGCTTATTAATCTGCACAGGAAATGCAATACTTTTTTTTTTTTTTTTGCTGTGGGGAGCTTCAGCAGCCTACTCTACCTTGGGCTCCAAGTGCAAATTGGTTCTAAAATGAGCACAGCCAATATAACAAACTAGATAGATGTAATAAGGAATTTAATATATAACCTTTCCATTTTTAAAGGAGAACTTCCTGCTCATAACCTAAAATATCAGGGGAAAATCCTTCCTTCATTTCCTGTCTCATACACATATCTTTTTCTGCATATAGTAGTACACACAAATTGCTTTCCTGTTCTTCCCAGTACAGCTGGGAAAAGGCCAAAGTAGAGGAGATGGGGTGTGGGGTATGCCATGATCTTTTTAAATACTTTCTTCTTCACATGCCAGGGGAAGCAGAGTTTAGGGAGAGTGCATCATCTCGAAAGAAAGGCAGAAAATCAGGAAAAGAGATGACACTGGTAGAAAAAATAAAGACTGTGTGAACTGTACAACTCCATTAAAGTATATAAGTATAGAACAGTATACAAAACTTTTCACAAAATAGAAAGTGTACAACGTATGTGTGTATGCACACAAAGATCTCTCTATATAAGGAGACTATCCCAGCAACCTTCGTGTCTCCAGCTAAGAGATGCTCCATTCACCTCACTCCAAACTACCTCTCCAGTTTAGTGGAAATTCTTGTTGGGGAAGCATCCATCTTTTCCAGAAATGTGAAATAAGGCTAAAAAAGCTGCCGTTTCCTGAATAACATTATATCTTGAAGGAATAGCTGTTTTCCATGTTATACGCACCTCTTTGCAGGCTTACTTGGATTAGAGAAGGATAAACTTTTTCGTACCTGTGATTCCCCAGAGCCTTCATCATCAAAAAAGTAACGCACAATGGTTCCATCTGCATGTCCAGAGAGGATTCCCTTCCCCGAGACACTGCAGAGGGGATATATATCGAGTGATCAGTATGGCATGGCAAGGGATCATTGCTTTAAACCACTCACTTAGTTTTAATTCTCTCTACAAGGATGTAGGCTAGAGCAGTGCAGCCATCAGGCTCAGGGTAAGTATTGTGTAGCTAACCTACTCCACAGCTGCAGCCTAAAAACAGATACTCACAATGAACAAATACAAGTCTCAGCTGTTTCGCCGAATTCCAGACAGGAAGGGAAACAAAGGTCTCAAGGTAATGATCAAATGAGTCTTTATTCGTCCATACAATGCCCCGGATTCAGGTAACAACGAGTAACCAAAAGGAATTAAAGTCAGCTCTGGCACACCTCGCAGCCAGAGCTGTATTTATACACCAGTTAACAACTTAATGAGTTTATCCACCATCCGGTGAGCGCTACTGCATCACATCCGATCACCATGTAATACCTATACACCGTGCTTTTATCCATTAATTATGCACCCCTATTTACCATATTTGTACAAATATCATATTCCATCATTGTATTTACGCCTATGAAGTGACCCTCCACCCCTCTCAAGATCGTTAGTTCAACAGGCAGCATCTTAATCACTTTGTCTACAACCACCCACAGGCTGTAACAGCTCAGCGTGTGACGTCAGCAAGGCTCGTTATCTCCATCGAACAGTCGGAAAACCCAGGTTGGGTGATTAACAGCATTCCCCCCCTTGATAGCATAGTCTGATATGGCACAACGTGTGGTGTCACGGCTCCAGCATGCCCTGGAGACATGACAACAAGTGGAGCCTCAGGTCGCGACCGTAATCCGTTCCTGGACACCGGTCGCGACCCGATTTGGTTGTGTCCGGAAGCACGACTGACTGTGCATGCACCCAGTCAAAAAAAATGGCACCAAAGGGGAAATCGGCACGGAAAGGAAATCTTTGCGCGGCGATTTTGTTCACCACCCATTTTTGAATCGTGACCCAATTCAAAAATCGGGTGGATTTTTTGTTTGCCACCCAATTTGATTGAAAACAGGAGAGTTCATGACCTGAGCTTCCACTGTACTCTATGCCAGCAGTCCCCAACCTTTTGGGCACTAGGGACCAGTTCTGTGGAGAAAGGTTTTTTCCATAGACCAGAGGAGTGTGTGTCATGTGCTGACTGCATTCCGCCTATGGGGCTTCACTTGTTTGTGCGGCCTGGTTTCTGGCATGACGCAGCCCAGTGCCAGTCCACGGACCAGGGATTGGGGACCTGTGCTCTACACTCCTGGCCAGAGCTGGCCAGGAGAAGAATCAGAGCTATCAACTAAGTCAACTAAGTCAACTAAGTCACCTTTCCCATTCCCTCACTTACTTGGAGGCCAATGACACCACATAGGAATCTGTTCCATAAATGGTAGAGGATTTGTTGGTCTTGGTGTTAGCTAAACGAATCTTTAAAAAAGAAAAATCAGGTCATCCCAACAATAAGGGAGCAAGAAGAGAATCAGAATAGACACCCTTCAACATCTGTACTGCTTAGGGAGAATTTGGGGACAGCCAATGACACCTGAGATGAATCAATCTGCAGCAGCATCTAGATGTGGGTGTTTATTCCCCCCAATTCTTTTCTCAAAAAGACTCTATGACTCAGCTTCTCTCACCTTGCCTTCAACAAGCCCAAACACAATGGTATTCTCCTCCGGCCATAGCAAACATGTCACAGCACTCTAATGAAAAACAAAGTAAACAGGATAATCAGGAGCAGAAGAAAACATCTATTCTGCAGGCAGACAAAGAAATCTGTCAACTGAATGGCCTGTTTTTGAAATTGGAGTTCCAATGCCGACTCCTCCCATGGCCAAACTTCCTCTTAACAGCTGTAAAAAATGATAGTACTATTAGGCAGAGCTATTCTGATAATCTTCCCTTCCTGTTTATTTCATTCACAAATCTTGGTCAGCATAGCTAATCCAATATCCAGGTCTTTCCCTAACTCCCTCCCAAACTTCATTTCAAGCACCTGTCTCTTATTAATTAAAAAAAAAAGTAGACCTGACAGCATGCAAGGATGTACAAGTTCTCTCACTACAAACACACTTACCGTCTGAATAAACTTGTTGCAGATCACCTTTTTGTCACCCCTGGACAGGAATAAACAGAGACAATATTACTGTCAAGGGCCAACAAATATTACAAAGCTCCCTAGGAGATCCAACTGGATGAAGTAATATAGGAATAGTGTTAAGTAAAGCAGGGGACAGGCACCCAGAGTGTGCCCATAGTCCCCTGAAGTTAATGTGACATTCCTTGCAATTTAGAACTCCAAGAACTAGGAAATGAATCATATTCATCCATATCCACAGTAACACCAGATGTGCAACTGAAGGGCTATCAATACAACACAATCTGTTGCTATTTTAAAAGAATGAATTTCTGTTTTCATCCTATCCTACCCAAAGGCACTTACCATTCTTCCCCAATTTTGTATACAAAGATTATGTTGTCTGACTGCCCAACAGCAATCTTAGTAGAATCTGGGGAAAATGCCATTCCTTTTACCACATAGCTCTTCCTGCCATACTGGAAAGAGAAGAAAGATAAAGGCTGTAACATAATGTGCCTGTTGTTTACTCAAAATCATAATTCAAAAAATTGTATATCAGGAGGCATCATCATGTCTGAAAAAGTCACTCATATCAATGCAGTGCACCAGCAAAACTATTACAAGGTGATTTCATTCAGGAAGCATTTTGCAAACAAAGCAGGCAAAACGGAATCCAGATTTGCAAAACAAACAAACAGTAAGAGATGAGAGAAATTTCTGGGGCATTTAAAAGATTTAAAACAATATACATAGGAGACAGGACCAACAAAAAACAGCTATGAGATTATACAGTTTACCACGGGCTGAGGATATATCTAGAACATGTCAACCAAGTATCAGTATATTGATGCCAATGTGTCACTAGTAATGTGTAGCTTTATGCCATATATTATGGACATATATGAAAGCTGGAATATGTGAAATCCATCAAATTAGGTCAAAAATGTCAAAAGGTTTATTCAGGACAAAAGTTGTCAGGTTATATAATTCCCACAAAAAGGGTTGTTTTCTAGAACCAAGCAAGACACCACCACTCTGCTGAAAATTACCAGGTCTGTGATAAATGCCAAAATGGAACTGGCCCAATTTAATGAACTGGTCAAATCATTAAAAAATATAAAAATGTGTGGAAACTGTAGTGTTTTGGAGTCATCATCCAGAAAGAGGTATCGCACATGGGCATCTTCAATTCTTCTGAGATTGAGATTTTGACATACATATATATGTAATTGAGTGGTGTTTTTAGTTCAAAAAAATCAACTGTAAAAGTTGGAAATCGGTATTTGTTTGAGTTATGGCTGGGTCTCCGACAAAAAAAGAACAAGTAGCGTTTCCGTCCTTCAGGGGGACCTTAGTTGTAGTTCAGTGTGATTTCTGCTTCATTGCAACATTGTGAAACTGATTTTTAATTGTTTCCTGAAATGATTTATTCTAGATTTACTGTACTTTTAAAGCCTTGGAAGATAATTGAGCTTCTGTGCAAGAACTCACAATACATAAATGATGCTGTTATATCCAATTATGCTACTTTTTGCCAGTTACAAAATTTGTCTCTTCCCTTCATATTTGCATTCTTAATTTCTTGCAAGTATTTTGTATAACAATAATTTGATGGCAATGTCACATGAACATCTTGCAAAATATTACTCAGGCAATTCCAAAGTAAATGCATTTTTGAAAACTTCTGAAAATATGTTCAGGAGAAATCTTCATAGAATAGAGTGCATTTTCCTCTCTAACGTATTGCTATACAACAATAAAGCACTAAATAATTAACACTGATTCATCCAGGAAGGCAGCATGTAATGAGAAGGGAATGAATTTTCCCGTGATGAGTCTAACATACCAACTGAGCAACCCATTACTCCCTTTCTCAAACCTTAACTTTGGACAAACTCTGAAATACGATTTCATACAGCCCGACCACTCTAATAATAACTTACCTTAGCATCTGCAGGCTTGGTGGAAAACTTGTCCCTACGCTCACCCTGTTCATCATATAAGAGAACCACGCGATCCACTGTGCAAACGGCAAATTTGGCATTATTTGGGGCCCAGGCCATGCAGGTAACTTTGGCTGCCCCATCCTGGAAGGAAGAAAGGCAAGAAAAGTTATAGGTAGGATATGCAGGCAGACTTCCACCAACTCGGATGAGGTTTAATGACCCGTTGCCAGCCCAATTTCTTCCTAGGGGAAGTGGAGATGCACGACGCTACAGGCCATGGGCAAGGGACTGGAGGTGTGGTAATTCTCCCCACGTCTCGATCTCCCAAACTGGTTTTTTTCTTCGGCTCAAGTAACCTGTGGAGTAAGTAGAGTCCGAACGTGTCGCAGCTGCATCGCCACCGTCGGAGGTTGCCGCGTCTCCTCCTGTTACCCGAGTAACGTCCCCTCGTGATGACGTCACGGGCTCAGCGCGAAACGTAAAGGAGAGCCACGCGGACCATAGAGACACACTAAATAGACGCGTATGCATGGGAGCAGCCTTCAAACTTCCACGGAGGAAGACGGGGGCGACTGATTATAGAAACCAGTGGAAAGTTAGTTTGCAGAACTCCCTCTCGCCTTTTAGGACTTTGTGGAAAACTTATAATTGCTTTTTACTGAGCTAGATACAATTGCTGTATGCTGAGCTAGATATAATTGGCTTAATACCAATAACGGTGAGAGATCTTGGATAATAAATAAATAGCTTATACAGGTCGTCCTCGACTTTATTTTTATTTATTTATTTATTTATTTATTCATTCATTCATTCATTCATTTATTTATTATTTATTTATTTATTATTTATTTGTCAAGCAATTATAAGATAACAGGTATAAGTATAAACATAGTTATGAATACATGAAATGAATACATATAAGAAAAATAAAAAGAAACAATAGGACAGGGACGGTAGGCACCTTGGTGCGCTTATGCACGCCCCCTACAGACCTCTTAGGAAAGGGATGAGGTCAATAGTAGGCAGTCTAAGGTTAAAGTTTTTGGGGTTTGGGGAAGAAACCACAGAGTCAGGTATAGTATTCCAGACACTGACCACTCTGTTGCTGAAGTCGTATTTCCTGCAATCAAGTTTGGTGCGATTAATTTTGAGTTTGTATCTATTGTTCTTGTGTTATTATGGTTGAAGCTGAAGTATTCATTGACAGGTAGGACATTGCAATATATAATTTTATGTACTATACTTAGATCAGACCGAAGGCAGCGTAGTTCTAGGTTGTCTAGGTCTAAAATTTCAAGTCTAATGGCATAAGGTATTCTGCAACGAATAGAGGAGTAGAGAACTCTAACTTACAACAGTTAACAGTTTAGTGACCCTTCAAAGTTACAATGACACTGAAAAAAGTGACCTATGGCCGTTTTTCACAATTATGACCTTTGCAACATCCCCATGATCATTTTATTTATTTTATTTATTTGATTTGTCAATTGCTTACAAAATAATAGGTATAAGTATAAACATGAGTAAGAATTCAGAAAATAGGTACGATTAAATGGGGACAATAGGACAGGGAGCAGTGTCCCAAGGTCATGTGATCACCTTTTGTAACCTTATGACAAGCAAAGTCAATGGGGACGCCAGATTCACTTAATAACCATATCTTATCAACTGCAGTGCTTCACTTAACAACTGTGGCAAGAAAGGTCATAAAATGGGGCAAAACTCACTTAACAGAAAATTTTGGACTCAACTGTGGTCATAAGTCGAGGACTACCTGTAGTGTTGCGGCAGCAGCCAAAAAAACCCAATGCAATCTTAGGCTGCATTAATAGAATGATAGAATCAAGATCACATGATATATTAGTACCACTTTACAAAGCCTTAGTAAGACCACACGTGGAATACTGCATCCAGTTTTGGTGTCACCATGATATTAAAAAGATGTTGAGAGTCCGGAAAAAAAGGTGCAGAGAAGAGCAACAAAGATGATTAGGAGGCTAGAAAATAAAACATGAAAATAGGTTATACAATTTGAGTGTCTAGTGAAAAAAATGACAAGGGGAGATATAGCAGTGTTCCAATCTTTAAGGGGCTGTCACAAAGATGAGAGGGGGTCAAACTATTTTCCAACGCACCTGAAGGCAAAACAAGAACCAATGGATGGAAACTAATCAAGGAGAGAAGCAATCTAGAACTAAGAAGAAATGTCCTAACTGAGAACAATCAACTAGTAGAATGGCTTGCCTTCAGAATGTGTGGGTGCCCCAACACTGGAGGCTTTCAAGAAGAGACTGGACAGCCATTTGTCTGAAATGGTATAGGGACTTCAAGAGGCAAGTTGGACTAGATGACCTCTAATCCCTTCCAATACTATTCTGTTATTCTGTAGTTCTTCTTACCCAATTCTGTCACCCTTGAGTGACAGGCTCCCAGCCTTCAAGCAGTCCTTTTCAACTTCCCTCAAAATAGCGAGCAGGCACCCTCCAAATAATTTCTTAGTTTGCCACTGACCAAACTAGCTAGTTTGGGTTATGTTGGAGATGCCAAGGACTGAACTCTCCAAAATCCACAAACCAGATTTTTTTCTATCACAAAGGGAGAATTTTCCCAGAAAGTTAAATCCTAGTTTTCATGACTCTAAATAAAAAGGGATAAATATGAATATTGGAAATTGTTGTATATAAAGCCAAACATGTCTGTAGTGCAGAGGTCTCCAAACTTGGCAACTTTAAGACTTGTGGACTTCAACTTCCAAATTAAGGAGTTTTCATCATATCTTCCGATTGCTAATTTATATGATAGCCTTTCAAGTATTCAAAAAGTGTTATCGTATCTCTTCTCAGTCATCTTTTCCCAAAACTAAACTGTTCAATTTTTCCCCATTCAATAGTTTCCCATCTCTTGTCTATCTTTGTTTGCCCTTTGAAATGAACCAATTTCAATTTCTCTGAATATAGAACTGGACTCTCCATTTCAAGTGGGATCTTACCTAAGTAGAACAGATAGTTGGTGCTAAGGTTCCTTGTGGTCTGAAAATTATATTTTTGAATTTTAGAATTAGAAGGGAACAATCTGAGGTTTTGATGGCATTGTTTTCTGTAGTGTGATAAAGTTAAGATTAATAAAGACTTAAAAATCACTATATTAGAAGTCTCATATTGAGAATATGGAACAGATATAAATCCAGATTGTGCCAAATACTTTTATGGGTTCTCAGCACAAGAAGCATTTTATGCGAAAGAAATAGTTGGTAAAGAAAAATTGTTAACTTATCAAAAGAACAGCAACATGGAGAATATAAGATGAAACTAAAAGAGCAATTTTCTGAGAAGGATTTAGTTTTCAATGCCATACAGTCAATGTCCATATCATATATGGATAATAAGATATTTGGAATTGAACAGAAAACAAAATTTAAAGTTGAACTATATACAAATGATGAACATGTAACTGGTAAAATGTATAAACTTGTATCAATTTGAAATGGAAGAAATAAAATTGTATGAAAAAATGGGCTAAGAACTATACTTGAACCAATATCTTCAAAGAAATAAAATTCAGAAGGGAAGAAGGAAACATTAACCTTTCTAAATATCCTAATCAGCAGAGGAAATGGCAGCAAATTAGAAACAGAAGTCTGGCTCACATTAACCAAGCACTCCATGACCAAAGTAATAACACAGCTTCTGACAATTTGGACAAGCCACAAACACAGTGCAGCAGCCAAGAACATCAGAAAAAGTAAAGAGACTGCTTATGCGACATCTTCCAACAAAATGGATACCCACAGAACTTTACCAAAAATGCCTGACCATTTAGCCCACTATAGTACAACCAACAAAATGGAAGAGAATATTTGTAGCTAGGATTGAACTGTGGGATGCTAGCATTGATGATGTTACCTGATTAGATAATGAAAAGTCTGCAAGAAAAGAACAAAGTTTAGAGAACTTCAAGGACCCCACAACTAATGCAAGCTGTGGAAAGGATAACAGTACCATATATCAAAAACATCTCAAAAACAGCCAACAGACTATTATAACCACACAGCATCACCACTGCACACAAATCAACTAAAGGCCTCAAAAAACATCTTAAGTAAATCAAAAGACCAAGTAAAAGAGACATCTATAAAATATAGTGTAAGAACTATACCAACCACAATGTAGGACAAACATACAGAAGATGCTGTGTGGTTGTAATCACTAGCAGATGTTGTAGTAGAATGCATCCCTGAACATCAACTAGTTTAGGATGCTTTAATGAGGATTCCTGTCCTAAGCAAGGTGTTGGAATTGATGACCTAAATCCACCTGTTGGCTGGGGAATTCTGGAAGTTGAAGTCCATACATATGAAAGTTAACCTGCTTTAGAAATAGTGGCCTAAATGACATGTTCCAATTCTGCGACAGCAAACCTGTTTATAACAATCGCGTTATTTGTTTGGGAAGTGTTGCATTTTTAATAGGAACAACATATATGTTCTGAGTGTTACATTCTTCTTTAAATTCCATGGGGCAAGACTGCGAGTGAAATACAACAAATATCTACTCCAGTTGCTCGCTGTTACCGAATCACAGCACTAAAATTGCCATTTGGTCCCTAGATTCGCGTATGCAGTTCTTAACTTCCCCATCTCCTTGGAGGAAAAAAAATGCAACTACAACTTCCCCAGGTGCTTTTTAATAGACTACTGTATCTGTGTCGCCTGGTCTCGATCGTAGCGCATGCGTGCTGGCTCTACCCGAAGGCAAGGTGCATCGACATAGAGAAGTCCCTCCCACCGCCGGTAGAGCGTCCAAGACCCAGCCCGAGGCTCCTCTCTTTCAAGCGATGGAAGCGCTCCGGGCTGCGGGACGAGCGGTGCTCCGGAGTCCCAGCCTCGCCCGCCACCGCTTGGGCGTTGCCCGCCTCCGTCGCCACAGACAAGGTTAGTGCGAGAAAGCGCCTTACTGGGCGTTGCAGGTGTAGCGCCGTGGTTGCTAGGAGACAGCAGGACGCGCAACGAAGCTACTGCTCCTCCTTCCCCCATGGCCTCTCTTCCTTGGTTCCCTTCTCGTGGGATACTCGGGGACTCTTCAGCCGTGCGCATGCAAAGCTTGTCCCGGCGACGCGAATGTCCACGGGACTGGAAGGGCGGGGAATGTTGCTAGGACCTCGTGGTGGGGACCCGGAGCTGAGGGCGGACGCTGCTTTTTTTCTGGAGCGCGAAATTAATTAGTGGCGCTCCAGCCTCCCCAGCTGAACTGCAGCCCCGAGGGAAGGAGATTGCAGGCAGGAGGCGTTTTACTTACTGACGGTGGGGCCCCCTTGGGCCACGTGAATGGAAGAACCAAGGCAGACTCCTCCCCAACACAGTGGGGGCTTAACCCTGTGCTGGGGATTCAGGTCCTATTCAATATCTGGTACCCTGGGCTGGATAGCTGGGCTACTCAGT